TTATATATATGTGTATAAAGAGAGACAGATAGATAGATAAATAAAATTAATTATTGATGACAATAGAATTTCTTACAATTATATTGAGAGTAAATGATGATCTTCAAGGAAAATAATATTGAAGATCATCTAAAAAATAATTAATTAATAAGTCTCGTTTCAATTTCAACGTGGAACTCCAACACTAAAAATTCAGTAGAAGCTCCAGAGAGGAATATCACCATCTTCATCAACATCTTCGACCATCCAAGAACATGAAGGATCAAATATTGGTTCACCGAACATCAAATCGTTGAATATCGGTGCATCCAAGTTGCACCAAGACCACGGTTCGTAAATGGTTGTGTCAAAAGAATCGTTTGCCAGCAAAATTTCATCGTCAAACGGACTCGTCGGTAAATGCAAAGACGACGAAGTTGGAGAAGAAAGAAACGATGAATTAGATGGAGAATGCATTGGCAGTGGTGGACTGGCGGTGGTAGTGGTTGCATTGGTGACGGGTTCGGTGGTGGCTGCAGCAGTGGCCGCCACTTTTTGGATTGATTTAGGAGACATAGCAGTGGTGGAATAGTGGAGGTGGTTGTAATGATGTGGTGGAAAGTTGAGATTGGCCGATGGTCCTTTTAGGCACAAAAGGGCGGCATCGTAGGCTCTTGCTGCAGCCTCGGGCGTGGAGTGTGATCCTAACCATATTCTCGTCTTTTGATTGGGTGCTCGAATTTCGGAAACCCACGAACCCCAACTTCTCATCCTCACTCCTTTGTACTTCTTTTTGCTCAACGTCTCGTGATGGGTATTTTGGTCTTTTTTCTTCATCAGATAATTGAAGTTATATGTACGTCTTTGTTTAATTTGAAAAAAGATAAGACTCAAACCTTGAAATAAGTGAAGATGAAGGAGGGCATATTGTGGATTTTATAGTGTCAGTGAGCAAAAGACAAGTGGAATTGGATGACAGGAGATACCTTTCTATTCAAAGCATCGAAATGACTATTTTCTCCTTAGTTCAAACCAGTGAACACTATTTACATATATACCCCTTCCATTATCACTTGTTTGTCATTCAAATCCCTAAACTTTTGTATAACATGGAATCCGTTTAGCCAATGCTACATTCTTTCTTAAAAGAAGCCCCATTTGATTCTTATCGTTTAAAATCGGAAAGAAAAAACTAAAAATGGAATAAGAGGTGTAAACTGTTATTTTTGATTTCATCAAAAGGTATTCAAATTATACAGACATAACATAACTGTACTGTAAATCATTTTTAACATGTATATTGAGCGTTTGTTGATTAAATTTTTATAAAATGACCAGCTGTCTTTATTTTGCTTATAGTATAATCAACATATATTCTTTCCATCAGTGTCGGATTTATATCATTTTAACTCCAGGACACATAATGTAATAACTTAACGAAGAAATATAAAAAATCAAGATTGTCAGTTATGTGCTTCTGGGTATACAACAATTCATGCTATCTTTTTAAATTAAATAACTATTTTTTGGATATGCACGTGCAAACTATGTAAATCCGTCCATGTTTCTATACAACACGAGCTACTTGAAAAAAAAAAAGTTTGGGGGAAATGATCAATTTGTTAAAGTTGAAGGGCGTATATGAAATTAGATAAAAATAGAGGTTGAAAATGAAAATTTGTTATTGTGAAAGCGAATAAGAGGGATTTCAGGAGTCTTACAAAGAAAAATGAAGCCATTGAAAGTCTATAGACATAACACAGAAGTTTCCTAAGCCAGATAAGAGGGCAAACCAAGTTAAATAATTTGATTCAAGAGTGTTGTTCTAGTGCATGTGAATCAAGGGCAAATCCGTAATTAACCAATTTAACACATGGTTTAATAATCCTTAATAATGCGGAAAGAATAAAAATGCTGATTCTTATTTTGTACATACGTATTTCTAAAATCCTCGAATGTGATATTATTGATATCTGAAATGTTTATGACGAAGTATGTTATATACAAAAAAAAAAAAATCAGATCAAAGTATATTGCATTTTCATACATTTTTTATGTAAATTTTGGGATCTCTGATCATGAATGTATTTACAGGGTGTTTGGATTGTTTATAAAAACAACTTATTGACTTATTTTTGTGTGACACCGGTAATAAGCACTTTTGAGTGTTTGGATAAACAACTTATGTCGATGTCAAACCGATAATAAGAAGTTTTTGAATAAGTTATACTCTTCTGACTTATAATAAGTTGATAAGTGTTTTTGTGAAAAAACATAAGTTATTTCAAATAAGCAATCTCAAACATCTAGTTAATGGTACACGACTCTTTCACATCATAATTTTCTCTTTACCACAACATATTTCTCTTTCTTACATATTTTTTAACCATGTACCTCCAATTATGAACCGGTTTAAATTCTAAATATATTATTTAATTGGATTGGGTCCCCATCATTTTGATGAAGAACCAGTTCATGTTTATGAACTTTTCCCTTCCACATTGACATTTAGGGGTTGTTTACAAAATGCTTACTTGGTAAGTGCTTACTCGGTAAATTTTTTAATCGGATGAAGATAATAAATGCCAAGAATCTTACTGGGTAAGAGCGATGAAAATGATAGAGTCTTATCCAGTAAGTGAATATGACAACTCTTACCTAGGTAAGCGTTTAACCTGTAAATTGTTGCATTCGATACGTTTTAATGTACTAAAATCTTACGCATCAAAATAAAATTATAGTGTTGACTTCTATCGGTAAACACTTACCGGATAAGCATTTAGGTAAACAGCCCCTTACTGTTTTCTTCAAAAAACATCTCCAATAAATTCTTTAAATTTCTCCGTAATAGAAAACTAAAACTCAAAATCTCCAAAAAGAATTACATTTAACTCTAACAGATTTTCTATTTTGAAGATTGCAACATTAATTATATTATTAAAATGTTCAATGCATTTTATAAAATATTATTTATTTCACATAATCATTTAACATCAAAGTTTATTATTTGTAAAAATAATAAAATATTGTTTCTCTCTCATGATAAACATTTTTTAAGAGTTCTCTGAATTTGGAAAATTCCACACCCTGTCAGTCTGTCATGATTTCTCCATTTTAGAAAAAGTTTTGAAGAATTTCTTCGATTCAAATTTTTTTGTCCAAAATCTCTATTTTCTTCATTTTAAAAGAAATTATAAATAATTTATGAAAATTTATAAAAAATTTTATGAACCAGTCTACTAGGTTTGAGAACTTTCTGATTATATAGATGTCACATAAGAAATACCAAAAAAAAAAAAACTTTTAAAATAGGATTTACATCAATTGCATTTTCATGTAATTTTAAAAGAATTGAATAAAATGTCTTAATTTTTGTTTTACTTAGGACATGTTTAATTATTTAAAAGTTTTTGTTTTTTGATGTGATTTTTTTTAATTCAATTTTTTATTATAATTTAATTCAGATTTAATAACGGAGTAATTTATTTTTGATTTAATAATATAATTTTTTATATTAAGTATTTTGTTATAATTTAATGATTATTATAATTATATTATATAATATTTAAATTGAAATGTTTATCTGCGATTAGTTACACGAATTCAAACATGAAGTTTTAATAAGTTATACTTACGCATAATTTATTTGTAATCTTGATTTTAAGTAATATATATTAATAAACGGTATTTCATATATAAAAAATAGTTCTTAAGAATTTTTATGAAATACTTTATAATATAATGTAGATATATAATCGAAGAAAATATATATATATATAAATTTAATAGTAGAGTTACAAAGAGGACGCGCTAATATGGAACAGGGGCTCCATACCCTGCGAACTATCAGCCAGCTGTTGCTCTTCTGGCTTTCAGTTACTGTAGACCTGGTCGTCGCTATCCTTTTCGACCAAAATGTCACTTTCTGGGAAACAATCTATATTTTCATTTTCTACCCCCAATCTTTCAATATCTTTAATTTCACCTCTAACATTTGCATAACGATATCATATCTATTCTTCACAAATGCAATTATGATGGAGAGGTGCTTTCTGTTACTGATTCAGTCAATGGCTTAGAGGTAATATACGTCTCTCATATGCGATTGCGGTGACTCGCTTTTCCAGATTTGCTCTCTCCGACGATGCTTCAACGTCTTTGATCGAATCAGGTAAGACTTTTCTGTTCTTAAGCTTTGATTTCGATTTTAGGATTTTGTAGGATTCTGATCGTAGATTTGCTAATTGCTTTGATTGAAATTTCAACTGCTTCTCTTCGAACATTCTGTTTTTTTCCAAGTTTTGTTGCTTTTCGGTTCTTCAACTGGTTTCTGAGCTCTGTTTTTTAAGTATTCAAGGGTAGATATGTTATTGATGCAAATGTGACGTTAGAATTATGTTAAGGATATGTCTAGAAATATGTAAGATCTGATTGTTCTTTCTCTAATTTGTTGTATCTACACTTGTTTTCAAATATCGCGAAAAAACTAATATGGATGTTTGAGTAAATTTAATCGGAGAAATTGTTCTGTGCGTTGATTTTCATTAGGTTAATCATTGTTTTTTCGGTTCAACAAACATTATCTAACTTGATTTGTTAATTTCGATCAGGCCGCATCCATAGATTCTAATCACCTATTATAATGTAGGTGAATTCTCTTAAGTTTGTAGTTATATCCAAAGCCATCCACTAGGAGTTTGTGTGAAAACTTGAATTGGTGAAATTAATTGGTCATAATATCAATCTTCGGAAAAAAAAATTATTGTATTAGAAGAAATATAGAAGCAGGCAGCATTTGAATGTTAATGGAAGAGGTCAAGAGGTAGAGCAACATATTTTACATCTTAAGAACTGAATCTAGTGAAAAGCATTCTTAGATCATATCAACCGGTTTCTTGTAATATTAGAAGTTGTTTCTGTTTATAGTCTTTGGATCTCGTTAGGAGACGATAGATTGGACTTTGTGAGGCCTGTATGATCTCTTCATTTGAGTAGATTTTCATGTCTTTTTTTCTGTTAACCGTGGTTGGCTGGGCCAGCTTACGCACACCTCTAATAATCCCAGGTCCAAGAGAACAATCAGGAAAATCCCAGTGGTCTTGCAGGACTCGAACCGATGATCTTTAAGAAGAATCCCCAAAGACCCAAGCTTTATTGCTACTTGAGGGGTTGAGCCAACCCACAAAGGTTTTTCATTTCCTGATTAAAACATGATCTAGTTAACAAGATAATATATATATATATATATATATATATATACACACACACACATGGAATTTCCTAGAAAAATGATGGGTGACCAAATTTTCTCCAGAAAACTAATTTCAGCTCCTAATTTGCCCACCAACATGGTACATCAAATTAGGCTGTTGGTCATTAGCAGCAGCCTTCTCCTTGTTACTACCCCATTACAAATATTTCTTAACACCGAGTCATCTTTACATGTCCTGGAAACATCTTATGATATAGCTCAATTCACCAACATTTTGCTATATTTTAGCTAATAAATCAATCTGAAATTATCGATCCTCTATTCCTCTTTTTTGATAGAGTCCGTATTGGCTAGATTTACAACATTCGTTTTTCTATCAATAATGAAGCCGCATAGTAAACAGAGGCGGCACCGGCTCCCCACACTCACATGCTTACCCATCTTTATGTTTAAGAAACAATTATTTATTTCTTGTAACCTGTAACTGATTAACCATTTTGTAAGCTAATGTGTTTTTAAGTTGAATTATAGTGGTTATTAATTTGTTATTACCTCCAATTGTTATTGGACTCCAAGAAATCAAAAAGCTCATTTTTATTTTTTAACTTAATTTATTCATCTATGATTGGTGTTTCCCTAGACTTCAAATCCCAGCTCAGCTCCGCTCCGCTTGATATATGTTTGAGCCTTCTTTCTTTCTTAAAGGCTCTTGTAGAGAGTAGTCTGATGAGATTTCATATATTCTCATACCCGGTGGCATCATGAAATTTTAAAGTGCAAATCTAATGCCTTATTCTGTAGTTGCGTCGTTATTTTGCTTTTGAGGAGCATACGGTCATGTATCATCTATATGCTTACTCGTAGAATGGCTTTCGCTGCTGTGTTTATAGCTTTCTACGCTTACCGATTGATGAAGGAAGGTTCAAGACAAGAACATCGTTGGTTTGAAAAACCTGCGGTTTCATAATATGGATATCGAGAGCATCAAGTTATGGCACAGTAAATCCTTATCTTGCCACATTCTTCATCATCAAAATAGAATGCAGCTAGTACCTTCTTTTTACTTAAGACAATTGGTTTCGAGGTGATATAATTACACAAACTGGTGAGGGTTCGAGTCTGAGAGACACAGTTTGGGAGTCACAATTCCTTTGGGCATTGGGCTCCTAAGCCAGCCACCTAGCAAACTGTTATGAACCTGGTTTATCTCTCACATGATACTCTTTCGGGAGAGGCCGGCTCAAGTAGTCGGGTTACCGCCTTCCCTGTAAGAAACCGTTTATTGCCCAATCAGGACTTGCATCCCTACCTGGGTTCTAAGTTCACACAACCACACGTATCTTGTCAAATTGGTATACTTGTCTTAATATTACATGTTTTTAATTTATTTTACATTCAACTCCTGTGATCTTGAAGATTTATCTTTCACTTGCTGGCAATATTTGGACCCAATTAATATGATGCATCAGTTGTTTTTGGTTTCAAAATTTAGTACATCAAGAAGTGTGAATTGCATTTATAGAATTTTGGTTTTTGAAATACAATAAATTTAGTTTTCGTTTTTGTTTCTATCATGTGTAAGGATGATCATAATCATTGATTTAATGTAACCGGGGCGGACCTATATATGTTCGAGCACAATTTTGTACACCCGCTCAACTTATTTTCGCTAACATGATTTGTTTTTTGATGTAGGAAAGGTGTACCTGCATAACTTTGAGGGGTGCTCGTTCGGGGATATTTGAACATATAAGGAATATATCAACCAAAAAAAATCCCTCAAAATCAATAAATAAAAAAGCAAAACAAAAGTCTTTCGAAATCAACCAAAAAAGTTAAAACTCTCTCGAAATCAACCAAAAAACTTGAAAAATCTCTCGAAATGGTGGAATTCGGTTAAAAACATATCGAGCGACTTTACGAGTCTTTGATCTACTTTAAAGATGCACCTGTTCGACCATGGGCGGACCTACCTAAGTGGTATGGGTGGCACGTGTCACCGTATTATTTCTCTGCCGAAAGGGTAAAAAATTAGGTTTGTGAGCGGTGCTACCGTATCGTTTTAGAAGGTGCTGCCGTATTTTCTTGAAATCCAAATAGTGCAACTAAAAAATTTAGGCTTGTGAATGGTGCTACCGTATTTTCCTCAATTCTATGAAAACCATACTTTTTATAATTATTTTTGGGTATATATTGACCTTTTTCAAAAGATGAAGACATGTCGGATACAAGTTTAGGAGTTGTTTATTAGTCCTATAAAAACCATATTTTTTGTAATTATTTTTATATGTATATTATATTATTAGAGCTGTAAATGAACCGAATGTTCAGTGAACTGTTCGTGAACCGTTCGGCAGGAAGTTCATTTATTTAATAAATGAACGAACATGCACAATTTTTTTTGTTCATTTAGTTAAACGAACATGAACAAGAGTCACATTCGTTCATTTATGTTCGCTTATGTTCGTTCATTTACCGTTCGTTTACGTTCGTTTATATTCGTTCGTTTATATACTAAATTTAATATATAATCTTTTGTTTATTTAATTTGAATTCAAATAATATTTATGTATGTTTTTTTAGCCCGTCCGTTTATGTTCGTTCCTTTACGTTCGTTTAGCATGTTAATGAACGACCATAAACGAACATGCACATTTTTTTTGTTCATTTAGTTAAACGAACGAACACGAACAAGAGTCACATTCGTTCATTTATGTTCGCTTATGTTCGTTCATTTACCGTTCGCTTMCGTTCGTTTATATTCGTTCGTTTATGTTCGTTTATATACTAAATTTAATATATAATCTTTTGTTTATTTAATTTGAATTCAAATAATATTTATGTATGTTCTTTTAGCCCGTCTGTTTATAAATTCGTTCCTTTACGTTCGTTTAGCATGTTAATGAACGAACATAAACGAACACAAACACACCAGATTTCTAAATGAACGAACAAGAAAACGATGATTTTCGTTCGTTTACCGTTCGTGTTTGTCGGTTAAGTTAAACGAATGAACATGAACAAGCCTTCGTTATGTTCGTTTACAGTCCTATATTTTATATTAATTATATGGTGTCATCGTTTAAAAAAATTTATGGGTCCGTCCCTGTGTTCGACAAAAATCATAGATACACAACTAAATGTAATACGCCTTCTAAAATTCATATTTTGGGACAATCACCTGGAGTTGTTTACATTAGTTGATGATTTTGTAAGTTTAGCAATTAACTTAGGTGATGTTTATATCAAACGCTTACCCGAGTAACCGTTTTACAAGTCACTTTACTTTACCGGATGAATATGGCAAGGACAAAAAATCTTACCCGGTAAGAGCGAAGACAAGAATTGAGAGTCTTACCTGGTAAGTGAGGACGAAGACTCTTACCATGGTTAGCGCTTATTGGGATAAATTGTTGCATACGATGCGTTGAATTTTACCAGGTAAATGTTTAGGCAAACGGCGTCTTAATTTTAAAATATGAATTTTAAGAAGTTGGTTACATTAATTAAAGAATTTTAAAATTTTGTTACGATATTAACGATTTTGATTTCTTGTTGCATATAATAAATAACAAATGCAATTTTTTATTATATTTAGGTGCAATTTTCCCTTTTCAGAATTGATGTTCATTTTATTATATCCGAATTATGCATCTTTAAAAAATAACTTGTTTAATCAAATTTTCTGATATGTTCGATTCTACTGATAACACTTGTACCATTAGGTTAACAATCTTTTTGATTACTTCGAGTAAATTTGTATCTGTATAACCGGTTGTTGTGTTCTTTCCATTTATTCTTATGTTTTTATGTTAGTGATTGTTCATAATTTAAATCCAAGAAGTAAAACCGTTAGAAACATAATAGCATCATACTAATTGTACATGTACGAATCAGATATAGAATTACCATCGATGTTTCAAAGTGCGACGATTAGGAAATTATGGATCCTAACATCTATGACTTATCATAAATGCAAGACGGTGAAATTATCATAATGATTAAAAGACTTTGTATAATTTAATGCAAGAGTTGTTGATAAATATTTTTAATCGACAAGAAATGATCAAAAATCACCATTTTACCCCTCTATTGTTTTTTATTTGGTTTCAATTTATGGTTATCTATTAAAAAGGTAATAATATTCATAAGCTTTATTAGCTTTTTAAGGCTTTAATTGGGCTTGGGCCAACATTTTGGATTCTGCTTTCAATGGGCTTTCTGTTATAAGATTTTTGGGCATCCAAAGTAGAGATGGCTAAATCGGCCCGGCCCGGGCTGGGACCGCCGGAGGACCGGGACCGGGACCGACAAAGGACCGGACCGGGACCGGTAAGGACCGGTTATGGGACCAAAAACCGGGACCGGTTGAGGTTTTTGGTAGTTTCGTGGGACCGGCCGAAAATTCAAATAATTTTATAAATAAATGTATTTTTAAATAATTTTATAATGTATTTTTAAATAATTTTATAATGTATTTTTATAAGAAAACGTAATTTTAATTATATTAAAACACATTTTTAATGTGTATTTGAGTGACCCAATTGTAAATTTTATAATGTATTAAAAATATATATCATTAAAAAAATAAAAAATAAAAATATCTTATTTTTTTAATGCAAGGACCAGTTGGGACCGGGACCGGGACCGGCGGCCCATAACCGGTTATGAAGTACCTTGACCGGTCCTATCATTTTCGAACGGGACCGGGACCGATTACGCCGGGACCGGTTATGGCCGGTTATGAGAAAGATGAGGACTGATTGGGACCGGCCCGGGACCGGTTTTTGGCCATCTCTAATCCAAAGTCATTATAAATGATGTTTTTACACTTTCAAATAAATTCAACATTTGATTAAATATAAAAACAACTATTATATGAAATACTATTTAATATATATATGAACCGAAAGAAAATTATGTGCGTTTGTACTTAAAGGGGTTGCTTATCAAATGATTATTGAATGTTATTTGTCTCAATGGTTGAGCATGATAAAGATCGAGAATCTGACTTGGTAAACAAGGGAGAAGACTCTTGCCCAGTTAGCGTTTACCGGGTTAGAGATGTTTACCAACAATCTATTTTGATGGTCGAGAATGTTACCCGATAAAGTAATTGTGGGCGGTGACTTTCGCCAGTAAGTGTTTATCTGATAAACATTTGGTAAAGGATCCTAAATGAGATCTCAAGACCCCCATTTACTGGCCACAGATCTCAAATGATACACCTTAGATCACCGGAACCAAATGATCCATCGGCATTAGGATAGAGATGAAGATATTTAAATTGCAAGAGAAATAAATGATTCAATGATCTGATCAAATATTATTATTACGGTTTGAGAGAAATTGACTTATCAGCCAACGCCTTTGTATCAAATAGTTTTTCATTCTACAAAGGAATTTGTAGTCGAAATGAATCAGGACGAAGAGAAACTTGAGGGTTATTCTGATATATGGTCGATAAGGCGGGTTGTTAGAGCATCTTCAATAAATTCTTCAAATTTTCTTCAAAACGTATAATCAAAATTCAAAATCTAACAAAAAGTTGCATTCAGCTCCAACAGCTTCTCCAAATATTTCATACATCTAATAAATCTAAACATTTAATTTCAAGATTTCTTATTGGTGAAAATATAATAATAAAAAATATTTCTTTCACGTGACAATCTTTTTGAAAAACTCTCCGAATTTTAATAATTTCACAATCTATCGTTGGAGGACCGGAACCGGGACCAGTCAAGGACCGGCCTAGCCCTGCCCGGGACCGGTAAGGACCGTTTATGGGACCGCCGGTTACATCCGATCATGGTTTTTGTCGGATTTGTGGGACCGGGACCGGTACCGGTTATCACCCGACATGAAATTAAAAAAAATGATTTCTTTTTTTTAAATATAGTCGTTACGTTTTTGACCCCTTTTTTGTATTTTTTGGCCTCTAAACAATATAAATATGTAACAAGATTGAGATGTTTACATATCAAGTTCTCAATTAACAAAAAACGCAAAAAATGTTCACAATTCTCGTAATAAAACGTTTTTTTAAGTGTATTTGAGTGACCTGTATGACAAATTTAATAATGTATTAAAAATATATATCATTAAAAATTATATTTTTAAGGGTGAGACCGGCGGCTCATAACTGGTTATAAACTAGCCTGACTGGTCTTTATCTATTCAACAGGGACCGGTTATAGCCGGTTATGAGAAATCTTGGGACCGGTTGGGCTCGGCCTGGCCTGGCTCGGAACCGATTTTTGGCCATGAAAGACTATAAAATTATATGGGCTTAAACATAAAAGTAACTATTTAGTTATTGGGCCTAATCATTAAAGCCCAACTATACCCATATAACAATTATTTGATTTCAAATATAATATTTTGAACATAAATATTAATGAAGAAAAAAATATTTGGTGGGTAAAGCTTATCTTTTTGGTTTATCAAATAATTT